GCCGTTCCTTTTGGCCCTTCTCATCCTGGTCCTCACTGCCAGATTGTCTTGGTGGAGAGCCCTTCCCCAGCTACTCGCCTGGCCAGCTGTCCCACCCCCGCCATCCCTCTGTCCCTGGCTGTTCTCTTTTGTAACCCCTCCACTATTTGACACTGTGCTGTGCATTTTCTTCTCTTATTCTTGGTTCTTCTCATCCCACAGAATGAGTTTCAAGTGCTCCTTGGGGGCCAGCTTTCAGTTCCTGGATGCGCTGTGCCCTTCCTATTTATGGGACCTGTGCAAGGCTCTTCTCTGACCCAGGGCTCTGCCCTACACCTCTCCCTATGATTCATGCCCCTGCTCTGGGGAAGGTCTGTTCTCCCTGACTGCCATGTGTAGGTCAGATCCCATGGGATGTGCCCTCATGGAACCGCACCCCATCCCTGTGGATAACTGATCTTTGTAACTACGCATCTTGTGCTGTGGTGACTCATGCCTTGCTCCACAGGGTCAGCCCCATGAAAGCAGAGACCATGCTACTTTGTGGACAGCCACCTCCCTGGCCCACAGCACAGTGCCTGGGTCACACCAGATTCTCAGCATGTAAATGAGCATGACACAACTTCCATCATCACAAATAGGTCTCCAGAGCACACCTAGAGGATATCAAAAGGAGCCTTCACTCACCAGGTCCTTAGTTTTGAGGAAGCAGGGCCCTTCGGGGGGCAGGTGGAGCCTTGCCTGTCCACCCTCGCCAGGGCCTGTGTGTGCAGGTGCCAGAGGAACTGAAGACAAGGCCCTTGGGCCTTGAGACCCCGGAGTCTTTTAGGGAACACAGTCACCTGCTACTGTCACTACCAATGCAGGGGAGAAATCACTTCCTAGATCAGTGTTTTTTCAAACATCAAAACTTAAGTGATCATCTGTGAAAAGTCATTTCTACTTAAGCTTATAATTGAGAAATGGAACCACATGCTCAGAGCTTCTGAGATACCAGCTTTTGCAACTGCTTTTTTTTCCCCTTTTGTACCAGGGATTGAACCCAGGAGCACTTAACCACTGAGCTACCTCCCCAGACTGTTTTATTTTTTGATTTTGAGACATGATCTCACTAAATTGCTTAGGGCCTTGCTCAGTTGCTGAGCCTGTTCTTGAACTTGGGATTCTTCTGCCTCAGCCTCCCGGTGCTGGGAGCAGAGACCGTGGCTATTTTGGTTCCCTAGGGCCTGTGCTGCATCTCATAATGGAAGGAAATGGAAACTTCACTTCACCGGGCCACAGCCTGTGGCAACAAGGACCTCAGTGGCTGGGGATCACGGTGTGCTGTGGAGCAGACGAGAACAAGGAATGACTGACGACAATCTGTGTGAGCTTCCTACAGTGGACAAAAATACTGACTCCAGTTAGGAGAGTGTCTCACCACAAGACCTTTAATTTTAATTCATTTAGAAGAGTGCTAAGAATATGAAGTACGGCATAGCAATCCACCCCGTTCTGGCAAGCCCCTCCTTCTCCTTCTTTCAGTGTGGCTATCTTCAGGGTAAGACATCTTAGAAATCACCCCTTTATGCTTCTGCTCCATTTATGTATTTCTTTTGGCCTCTCACCCTCTGTTAGCAAGGTCCCTTTAGGTAGCAGAGGCATAGTCAAGGCAGATACTGCTTTAGAAGAACTGACCACTTCAAGGTTTTGATGCCTCCTTGCATGAGCTGGAGGAGGACAGCCCCTCCTGGATTTTCACACAGGGTGCCTGAGTGTACCTGTGCTCACCGACTTGATTTTGGGATGTGTCCTAGGTGTTCAGCTCACTGGTAAGTATGTTATCAGGTGACTTACGATGAGCTTCCCTCATCTGCTTTTTTCCTACCACACATATTCAGGTGCCAGGTATCTGCAAGTGGCCTGTGAGAGACATCCAGTTGCCATGGCTAATAGAACTCTCCAGATCCTTTTGAAAAGAACTCTATAAATTCCTCTAATGAGTTAATATCAGATTACTGCCCTCTGGGGTCTCAGGCAAGAGTAGGTGCAGGGTCAGGCACGTGACCACAAATCACTGATAAGGATGGAATGCATTTAAATCCACAGCTTAACACGTCACAGAGTTCCAATACAAGACATCAGATAACTTTATTACCCATTAATTATACTTTCAAAAGTACCTTCTTAAAATTGAAAATAAAGTTTGATTTTCTTTGAACAAATAAGCAAAGAAAACTCTGCACCATGATATCTTACCCCCTTTAACTAAAACCTGCTCTTCAGAGAAATGGGAACTAGGGAGTAATCTAATCTGAGAAAAGCTCCAAAGCACCAAGAAGACTTTTCTGGAAAAAAAATTTCCCCAATTGAGTGTCATTCAAAAAGGGCCCAGTGGATCGCCTCAAAGAAACGGGGCTCTGGGGAAATTATAACTTCTTCTTATTGGCTATTTTTCCCCTCTAAAATTCTGTGAGAAAGCTGTCAAATTCTTCTCTGGCTTCAAATTTTGTAACTTTCTTCATAGAGAACTGATCTTAATTCTGTGATTAAATTAATACACTAAAAAATAAACCTCTCTGGAACCATTAAGTGGACAAGCAACATGATCATCCCCAGATCAGACCAGCTGTACCATAGGATGCAGGGACCAGGTGGGTAATGCCCCTTTGCCATCCCAGAACTGACGGGGACTCAACCACACACAAATTTTCAAAATGGGAGCTTCATTTGTAATTAAGCATGAAAACAGTTCTTGATATTTTTAACAAATTGTATCTTATTTTAAGAAAAATCAGTTCACATGACTGGATTAGAACAAGGACCAGCTTCCTAGCTTAAAAGTTAGCTTATGCAAGTGAGGCTTGCTGATCCCCTGAACAGATGGGATGTATTTTCACCCCATCAAGAAATACTTCAAAGCAAACCAAAGTAACATGGATGGGTTCTTATAAGATTTTATATCACCCTTTACAGAGCTCCAGCAATGGGCCAGATTTTCAAAGACTTATTTTAATATCATGTGGATTTTTTAGAAAATATTTTGTTCACATAAGTGAATACCTAATTCAAATGCCAATGACAGATGAACTCAATTCTTCCAGTCTCGTATATAAATATATCATTAGACCATGGTTTGCTTATGAACACCTGACTCTCAGTGGTTGGTGACCTGCACCCACAGCCTCCCCAGGCTCAGAACTGGGGTTCTGACCCGGGAAACACAGGCTCTTTCATACCCCCAAATGCTATTGCTGACCCCAGCTCAGTGAGGCCTGGGGCTTGACATCCTCTCCAAGCAAGATGATGGATATGCACTGACCCACTGTCTGTCCCCAGCTCGATCAATATCAGGCAACAACAGATGGCTGACTGGGGTTAAGAAAGCTATTTGTGGCCTTGGTCCACATCATACTGAATTCTGCTATGGAGACCCGTGAGGTTCCTAGTCTTTCAACATCATTTATTACTGAAGTATTAGGTTGAAACATACAAAATTGATGTTTTTATAAATCAAAAAATCAAATATCAGTTTTTTTCATATGAATCAAACTAATGCCAAAAGAATTTCTTTAAAAGATTTTTTTTTCTTACATTCTTAGGGAATGGGCTTAGGAACCCAGATTCAAAATTATTCTTCTGTGTTATCATTTTCTGCTGGCTATTGGTTTAACTTTAAATGTTGTAGAAGTGGTTTTTATACTTTTTTCATTTTGTTTCTTGATTCCTTTGCATAAGTCATGAAAAAAAAGGTTAAGTAGATTTCTTTTCTATTGTTTAGCATAAACATTTCTAAGCCTGATTTTTTGTTCTGTAATTTTTTAAGGACAGAAATGCAATATTGTTGTACCAAATGATCTTAGAACAGCCAGCAAAACTATATCAGCCAGATGGCTGCTGGTGACTGCTGAGTGGTTTACACAATCTCTGAAACAATAACAACCTGTCCCCTGCAATCAGCAGGGTCCTTTCTTGGTGGATATATTAGCAGTGAGTCATATAAATCTTCCATCCCTCACACATATCCCTGTGCAAGGAATTTCCCAGGAAATTGCAGAAGCATGAATGAATTCCAAACTATCAATTTGAAACAATACACACTCAGTTCCAGGTCATCCCTGAAGGAAAACATCGCCATCAAAAGAAAACATCCCACTTTTCCCTTTAAGAGGATGGATTCGCTCAATATTTTGGAAAAAAAAATCCAAGTCACTTAGTTGACTTTTAAGACTAATTTTAACTCCTCAAATGATTCAAGGCCATAGGAAAGTGTGCTTTTGATCACCCAGGGCTTGCAGTAACTCTGAAAGGTTTCTTCCACCTTCTGTGGGTTAAAACTCACTGTAGAAAAACTTTCACACTTTAGGTTGAACTTCAACACATAACTAGTCAATGGAAATGCACCTCACTCTATTATCCCCAGAGTGTGTGTTAGATACACAGATCATCTGCAGAACAAAATGAACCACAGTGGAGTTATTCATTGTGCTTCTGAGGGAGGTATGGCCCCAGGTCCCAGTCTACTCTGCCCTGTGATTCCCGGCCAGCTCACACCCACTTACAAGCCCTTACCCTGAGATCCCCTTTAACCATCTTCACTCTGATCTCCAAGAGCTCAGGAGGATGGTTTCTATTCGGTGTCTTGAGTAGTAGATGAATGAAGGAAATGCAAGGAAAATCTGGAGCTCACGCTCAGGGCTGTGCACAGCTTCCCTGCACCCACAACGTGGGATTCTGCAGCCCGGCCCTACCCAGAGCCTGCTTTAAGGCCATAGACTCTTTCATAGGGTTTTTCTGTACGCTGGGAACAGGAAGCCACACACAATGTGTCACAAAGATATGCAAAAAGTTGTATCTATGTAGGTTCAAATGGGAATCAACAAGATGGAAAAAAGTAATTAAAACAATGAAAGGAGTTTTCCAAATGATCAATTTTGCAGAAAACCCATAAAAGGCTCTGGCAATTTGTGCGATTGGAGGTTTCTGTCTGCTTTCCAGTGACTCCTGACCTTTCTGAGGTTTGGGCAGTTCAGAGCACTCACCTTCTATGGTGCACTGGTCAGGGACTGGAATCTTTCTTGCGATTTCTGTGGCGTAGGCCTTCACTTTACCCAGGTTCTCCTTCAGATGCAGGTAGAGCTTGTCTTGGTATTCCTCAGGACTCCTGGTTGTCTCTGAAGTCTCCTCCTGGAAGTCCTCCTTAACCATTTCTGGCAAATCCTCAGGTGCTATGTGTATAATACTTGGGTGTGAAGCTGAGGAATTTCTTGGCTGTGACCCGACGGTGTCCATCTTCGGGGGTGACCTGCCACATTCATGGCTGAAGGGGGCTATTTCTGAAAGGGAGAGGCTGCTGAGCATCCCTGCAGGCTCCTCTCCTTCCCCGTCATCTGAACTCACACCCCTGGTGAGCGCAGTGTGGAAAGCCAAGCTTTTTGATCTAGGATATAAAAGTTAAAATGGTCAAAGAAGTTGAGTTGCCACTCTTGGGCAAGGTAAAGAACAACTCTGGGGCAAAAAGTAGCGCCCTCTGGAGTGTGGACAGTGAACAGGCTTGGAAAACCACAGGCATCAGGTTATGTAATCAATTTTGCCTCTGAAAATCTAAGCTAGCTCCAAACACTAAGGTTTAAAAATCAATTTCATGGCAAAAGTGGGTGGAAAATGGTGGACTTTCATGCTTTTATTCATCTCTACTGTCACTTTTGATTTTTCACCAGAAATCAAGAGAAGCCACTGACAGCTGTTCTCAGTGTGGCAAATCTATATTAAAAAGTGTTTTAAGAAGATAAACCATAGGCACAGTAGGCCAGGGTCCTCCCCACCACCAGCAGACACCCGCTGGAGCCCAGCCTCCAGCACCAGGACTGCCTCTTCTGACCAGCAGACTACCGTAGGAGGTCAGACCTGGACCAGATATGTCCTCACTGACTTGCATGGGACCCAGGTCCAGGGTAGGTCCAAGTTCGTCGCCCCCCCCCCCCCCCGCACCCCCTACACACACACCTGGGAGCCCAAGCCTAACCCACTTCCATCGTGGGACACTGCAGTCATTGCCATAGCCTTCCCCACACAGTAGCCCCTAACTTTTTGACGACAGGGCCTGGAAGCAGCTGCATCTCAGAGCAGGCATCCCAAAGGTACTGTGAGGCCCACCCTTTCAGCCACATCTCTGTAAGACATTGCTTCCATCTTGGGGCACCTTAACTATTATCTCGAGTTACCTCAGCTATTGCTGCCACCACCTTTAGTAGCAGTAGCATACACTGAGGGACACCAGCAGGACCTGGAAGCCCAACATCAAGGTGAGGTACAGACAATTGGCACAGGTATTACAAGAATATAGGGTAGAAACTGTAATATCTCAGATCCATGCTACAAGAAAGGAAGGCACATAGACAACATGAAAAAACAAGGGAGGAAAGTGCCCCAAACAAAACAGGACACTACAATAACAGAACCCATGGACAGTGACGTTGATGAAATGTCAGAGAAGGAGTTCAGAGGGTTCATAATTAAAATGATCTGTGACTTAAAGAATGACCCAAATGAGCAAATACAGGCAAAAACTGATCATTCCAACAATGAGATAAGAGAGCAAATACAGGTAGCAAAAGATTACTTCAAGAAAGAGATAGAGACTCTAAAAAAAACCAAAAAAAACCCCCCAGAAATCCTTGAAATGAAGGATACAATAAATCAAATAAAAAACTCAATAGAAAGCATAACCAACAGACTAGATCACTTGGAAGAAAGAACGTCAGATAATGAAGACAAAGTATATAATCTGGAAAATAAAGTTGATCACACAGTGAAGATAGTTAGAAACTATGAACAGAACATCCAAGAATTATGGGACAGCATCAAAAAACCAAATCCAAGAGTTATTAAGGTAGAGAAAGGCACAGAGATTCAAACCAAAGGAATGTACAATCTCTTCAATGAGATAATAGCATAAAATTTCCCAACCATGAAGAATGAATTGGAAAACCAAATACAAGAAACTTACAGGACACCAATATACAAAATTACAACAGATCTACACCAAGGCACATTATAATGAAAATGCCTAGCATACAGAATAAGGATAGAATCTTAAAAGCTGCAAGAGAGGGGAATCAGATCACATATAGGGGGAGATAAATTCATATCTCAGCAGATTTTTCAACCCAGACCCTCAAGGCCAGAAGATCATGGAACAACATATACCGCGCTCTGAAAGAAAATTGATGCCAACAAAGAATCTTATATCCAGCAAAATTAAGCTTTAGATTTGATGATGAAATAAAAACCTTCCATGATCAACAAAAGTTAAAAGAATTTACAACTAGAAAGTCTGCACTACAGAACATCCTCAGCAAAATATTCCATGAAAAGGGAATGAAAAACAATGATCAAAATCAGCAGAGGGCGGGATTACACTAAAAAATCTAATCATAGAAGAACCCAAGTCATGTTATATACCAAAAATAAACAGAAATGGCTGGGAATACAAATCGTGTCTCAATAATAACCCTAAATGTTAATGGCCTAAACTTAGCAATCAAAAAACATAGATTAGCAGATTGGATCAAAAAAAAAAAAAAAGAGAGAGACACAACAATATTCTGTCTCAAAGAGACTCATCTCATAGGAAAAGACATCCATAGATTGAAGGGAAAAATCATACCACTCATATGGACTGTGAAAGCAAGCAGGGGTTTCCATCCTTATATCAAATAAAGTACACTTCAAGCTAAAATTAATCAAAAAGGATAAAGAAGAACACTACATACTGCTCAAGGGAACCATACACCAACAAGACTTAACAATTATAAATATATATACCCCAAACAATGGAGCATCTATGTTCATCAAACAAACTCTTCTCAAGTTCAAGAGTCAAATAGACCACAACACAATAATTTTGAGTGACTTTAACACACCTCTTTCACCACTGAATAGATCTTCCAAACAAAAGCTGAACAAAGAAACTATAGAACACAATAATACAATCAATAACTTAGACTTAACTGACATATATAGAATATTTCATCCTTCAATGAGCAAATACACTTTCTTCTCAGCAGCACATGGATCCTTCTCTAAAATAGACCATATACTATGCTACAAAGTAGCTCTTAGCAAATACAAAAAGTAGAGATACTATCCTACATTCTATCAGATGAAAATGGAATAAAATAAGAAATCAATGATAAAATAAGAAATAAAAGCTACCCTAGGGCTGGGGCTGTAGCTCAGTGGTAGAGCGCCCTCCTTACACGTATGAGGCACTGGGTTTGATCCTCAGCACCACATAAAAATAAATAAAGATTTTGTGTCCAACTACAAGTAAAAAATACTTTAAAAAAAGCTACTCTAACACCTGGAGACTAAATGATATGCTACTGAATGAACAAGGGTTTGCAGAAGACATCAAGGAGGTGATTAAAAAATTTTTGAGGTGAATGAGAAACCAGATACAACTTATTGAAATCTCTGGGAAACTATGAAGGTAGTTCTAAGAGGAAAGTTCATTGCATGGAGTTCATTCCTTAAAAGCAGAAAAAGTCAACAAATAAATGACTTAACATTACATCTCAAAGCCTTAGAAAAAGAAGAACAAATCTATACCAAAAGCAGAAGAAAGGAAATAATCAAAATCAGAGCTGAGATCAATAAAATTGAAAAAATTGATAAAACAAAAAGTTGGTTCTTTGAAAATAAATAAAATTGACAAACCTTTAGTCATGGTAATGAAGAGGAGAGAGAAAACTCAAATTACTAACATATGGGATGAAAAAGGAAATATCATGTCAGACATTACAGAAATACAGAAGATAATTGGAAATTATTTTGAAAACTGTATTCCAATAAAATAGAAAATATTGAAGGCATTGACAAATTTCTAGAATCATGATATGCCCAAATTGAATCAGGATGATATACACAATTTAAACAGATCAATTTCAAGCAAGGAAATAGAAGACATCATCAGAAGCCCATCAACCAAGAAAAGCCCAGGACCAGATGGATACACAGCTGAGTTCTACAAGACATTTAAAGAAGAACTAATATCAATTCTCTTCAATTTATTTCAGGAAATAGAAAAAGAGGCAGCACTTCCAAACTAATTCTATGAGGCCAATATCACCCTGATTCCCAAACCAGGCAAAGATACATCAAAGAAAGAAAACTTCAGGCCAATATCTCTAATGAACATAAATGCAAAAATTCTCAATAAAATTCTGGCAAATAGAATACAAAAACATATCAAAAAGATCATGCACCATGATCAAGTGGGATTCATCCCAGGGATGCAAGTTTGGTTCAACATATGGAAATCAATAAATGTAATTCATCACATAAGTAGACTTAAAGATAAGAATTATATGATCATCTCAATAGATGCAGAAAAAGCATTTGACAAAATACAGCACCCCTTCATGTTCAAAACACTAGAAAGACTAGGGATAACAGGAACATACCTCAACATCATAAAGGCTACTTATGCTAAGCCCCAGGCCAACATCATTCTAAATGGAGAAATATTGAAGGCATTCCCTCTAAAAAAAACTGGAACAAGCCAGGGATGCACTCTTTCACCACTTCTATTTATCATAGTTCTTGAAAAACTGGCCAGAGCAATTAGACAGACAAAAAGAAATTAAAGGGATACACATAAGAAAAGAAGAACTCAAATTGGCACTATTTGCTGATGATATGATTCTATACCTAAAAGACCAAAAAAGTTCCACCAGAAAACTTCTAGAATTAGCAAATGAATTCAGCAATGTAGCAGGAAATAAAATTATTACCCTAAATCAAATGCATTTCTATATATCAGTGACAAATCCTCAGATAGAGAAATGAGGAAAACTACCCCATTTACAACAGCTGCAAAAATTAAAAATAAATAAATAAAATACTTGGGAATCAACTTAATAAAAGAGGTGAAAGATCTATATAATGAAAACTACAGAACCTTAAAGAAAGAAATCAAAGAAGACCTTAGAAGATGGAAAGATCTACCTTGCTCTTGGATAGGCAGAAATAATATTATCAAAATGACCAATCTACCAAAAGCACTATACAGATTTAATGCAATTCTGATCAAAATCCCAATGACATTCCTCATAGAAATAGAAAAGGCAGTCATGAAGTTCATCTGTAAAAATAAGAGACCCAGAATAGCTAAAGCAATCCTTAGCATGAAGAGTGAAGTAGGTGGCATCACTATACCAGACCTTAAACTATACTACAGAGCAATAATAACAAAAACAGCATGGTATTGGCACCAAAGCAGACTGGTAGACCAATGGTACAGAATAGAGGACACAGAGACTAACCCACAAAATTGCAATTATCTTTTTTTTAAAAATACATCTTTTTTTTTTTTTAGACAGAGAGAGAGAGAGAGAGAGAATTTCAATATTTATTTTTCAGTTTTTGGCGTACACAACATCTTTGTTTGTATGTGGTGCTGAGGATCGAACCCGGGCCACACGCATGTGAGGCGAGCATGCTACTGCTTGAGCCACATCCCCAGCCCCTACAATTATCTTATATTAGACAAAGGTGCCAAAAACATGCATTGGAGAAAAGATAGCCTCTTTAACAAATGGTGCTTAGAAAACTGGAAATCCATATGCAACACAGAGAAATTAAACCCCTATCTCTCACCATGCACAAAACTCAACTCAAAATAGATCAATGATCTAGAAATAAAACCAGAGACACTGCTTCTATAGAAGAAAAAGTAGGCCCTAATCTCCATCATGTGGGATTAGGCCCCAACTTCCTTAAAGACTCTTTTGCACAAAAATTAAAATCAAGAATCAATAAATGGGATGGATTCAAACTAAAAAGTTTCTTCTCAGTAAAAGAAACAATCTGTGAGGTGAATGGAGAGCCTACATCTTGGGAGCAATTTTTTACCCCTCACACATCAGATAGAGCATTAATCTCTAGGTATATAAAGAACTCAAAAAGCTAAATACTAAAAAACCCCAAAAAACAAAAAACAAACCAAATAACCCAATCAATAAATGGGCCAAGGACCTGAACAGACATTTCTCAGAAGAGCACATACAATCAATCAACAATATATGAAAAAATGTTCATCATCACTAGCAATTAGAGAAATGCAAATCAAAACCACTCTAAAATTTCATCTCACACCAGTCAGAATGGCATTTTCCATAGAGATTCCTTGGAAAATTGGGAACAGAACCATCATTTGATCCAGCTGTTCCTCTCCCTGGTCTATACCCAAAGAACTTAAAAACAGCATACTACAGGGACACAGCCACATCAATGTTTATAGCAGCACAATTCACAATAGCTAAACTGTGGGACCAACCTAGATGCCCTTCAGTAGATGAATGGATAAAAAATGTGGCATATATACACAATGGAATATTACTCAGCAATAAAAGAGAATAAAATCATGGCATTTGCAGGTAAATGGATGGAGGTAGAGAAGATAATGCTAAGTGAAGTTAGCCAACCCTAAAAAATCAAATGCAGAATGTTTTCTCTGATATAAGGAGGCTGATTCATAGTGGGGTAGAGAGGGGGAGCATGGGAGGAATAGACGAACTTTAGATAGGATAGAGGGTTGGGAGGGGAAGGGAGGAGGCATGGGATTAGAAATGATGGTGGAATGTGATGGACATCATTATCCAATGCACATGTATGAAGACATGAATTAGTTTGAATATACTTTGTATTCAACCTGAGATATAATAAATTTGTGCTCTATATGTGTAATAAGAATTGTAATGCATTCCGCTGTCATATATAAATTAAAAAAATTAATTAAAAAATTCAACTATAAAAATAAACAAACCATAGGTTTTTCTTCCATTGATTTTGCTCAATTAAAATAGTGAGCCTCCTGAATACTGAGGCCACTGTGGATAATATGCATTCGTGAGAGGACAGAACTTTGTGTGGCTATAGGTCAAAGAGACATAAAAGTACCCCGAACAGCATAAAGAGGTAACCCATACCAAACATGAGGTGTACACTTAGAAACTAACCAAATGAAATTTTTACCTATTAAATCTGATGTTTTTTCTTTCTTCCTTAGAAACTTGGCCCAAACTGTGTCTTCTGATGGAGCCAAGGGCACTACCTTCAGCAAGCTTTTTGTCTTCAAAAGCCTGGATTTTAACTTGGAGTTTGTCCTGGTCTTCGTTTCCAGGTCCCATGAGCTTGGCTTCTCCGGGTTTCTCAGGGAACCCATTTTCAGTGCTGGTTTTTCTGCTAAAGGAACAGAAACCATTGCATTAGATGTTGGTCAGCTGTGCCCTTCCCAACAGTGATCCCCTCTGTCTAACGGCCTCTTATTCAGAACTGAAAACTTTGCTGGATGATTTTTTTTTTCATTAGTCATTTATCAAATATTTATTAAATTCCTATTATGGTTCTAGGTCTTTGAAATTGCTTCTAGAGAGCTTATTCTTCAGGAAGTTTAGAAACATCAGTGATGGTGTCAACTCTGTATTAGAAATGCTTCTTGAAGGATTCAGAGAACAAAACGCAGTTTTTTTTTTGTTTTTTGTTTTTTTTTAATGGGCATCTCCCATGAATAGAAATTCTCCAAAAGTAAGGCTTTTGTATGAAATTCATGCCAGGAATTGTCTCGGAAATTCCCATGTGCCAACATGTTTGTACTAAAATTGGTAGAATGAGAAAATTTCATCTAGGCTCCTTAAACTCACGGCTTTGTTAATCTTCTGGAAAGTAATGTAACTCTTTCACCTTCTAAGCTAGAAAAGTCTCTCTGGATTTTATGATGTGAAGAAATGGGGATTTTCCCATGATGACATTAACAGTTCCAAATGCGTCTTACAGCAGAGTTCATAAACCACTCTGTGGGTCATTAAAATTGCCTCCTTGAAGCGGGGTCACATGTGTGTGACTTGGAGCCCTCTGAGGGCTAAACACACCTTAGCTGGACAGAAAGAGCCTGCGAACTAGCTACAGAAACAAGTCTCTGCTCTCTGCTGCTCTGAGCAGCACTAACCCTTTTACCTGTCTCTTAACATTGAGCCTGCCTGGAGCTGTGGCCTGGAGCTGCTTCAAGTTTTATTGAAGGATCAACTGTCAATCAGAACACATGAGTTCATTCTTTCCTTACAAGAACAAGGGTCAAGTCAGCAGCCTTTGTTCTCCACACCTCTGACACCACATATGCAGAGCCCAGAGGTGGGCTGATAGTGCCCACCTGAAGTCCTGCCTGGCCTGTGAGGTCACCTGCTATAGAAGTGCCCAGGGCTGCAGCCACCAGTGCTCTCAGGGCACACAGAAGCATTGCTTCAGAGAGTACAGGCGTCTTAGGAGTAGTGATCCCGAGACAAAGACCAGACATTTGTTTAATTTTTCACATAATAAACCCTAGCAATGCATTCAGCAAGATGGCCTGAAGTCTTCCTTGGTTTGTCTGTTTGCATTTATTTGATTCTCTAGTACTTTTCCTAGATGTTGAGAAAAAAGGACCCCAGAATTATAGAGACATCCTAACTTTTTCAAATATGGTTATTTTTTTTCCTAAGGGCAAAGTACACCTGGCATAGTACCTGTGAGGTGAGAAAGAAACTTTTTTTTTTTTTTTTAACAGCACTGCTGATTAGGGAAAGCTAAAGCAGAAGACACATGGCAGATGGAAAGTTCTGAGAGCTTCTGCCCAGAGGCTTCCAGGAGCTGGACCTCTACTCCTACTGTAAATGAAACCAAGGCAGTGCCATCTGTGGATGGTATGGTACAAACCATGGTGATTACCTAGGCTGATTTTTAAAAGGTCAATGAATCCTCTTAAGAAATTTGGGAGCAAGTTATTTATTTTTTGTATATGTTAGTCCATAAATAGTCACCAAATATATTTTTCTGATTCCTAGGAAGTTATTTCAAAATGAAAAGAGATTCCTTAGCTATGATCATTAAAACTGAAAAATTTGTAAAGCACACAGTATATCTTAATGGTTCTATGTCAGATATTAAGCATTATATGATCTGTGGTATAATAATATACATGATTTTACATACTATATTTCATTTCAAAACGCATAAATTTTTAGAGCAATAATTTCTCATGAATTTATGATCCTTTTCTTTATCCATAAAGCTCTGGGCTATAACAACAGTTATAATAATTTCATTGTCTTCCAAAAAATTTCAAATTTTGTATGATTATAGTAAATGTCCCAATATAATTTAATTTTATAATCTTTTAACAAAATTTTAAAAAGTTTCTGCACAGAGGATGTAACTTGGGGTAGAGCACATGCTTGGCACTCATGAGGCCTTGGGTTCAGTCTCTAGTGCTTTTTATCCATAACAATTTCACCACCTGTGAAATGGGGTAATGATCACCTGTACTTGACCCAGAGGCTGCTGGGAATATCAAATGCTGGGTCAGCATGAGGCACACAACATGCCTGGGATGGATTTTAACACTGTTGTTGGCTGTTTTTATGACATCAGACCCTCAAGAACTTCATAAGTCATGTGTTAATATGAGCAGAAAACATCAGTGGTCCCCAACAGGTGTGACTCCATACCTGGGAGGGAACTGATGACCCTGGAAAATGCCTGCATGAGGCTTTGGGGAGAATGTCACTGGGTCCCCTTCCCTGCCTGCATCTCTTCTTATCAGGTGCTGGGTTACCAAGAGCTGGAGCCTATGCTAGTCAGATGCTAGTAGCTGGGAGCAGCCTCCCTTCATCCTCAATTGCCTGTTAGCTTCCTCCTGAGCAGATTTGGGGCACCAGAGAAGTTATAGGTTATCTCTAGGCACACACTGACCCCTTGAGGGACAGGGGGTTGCCTCCAGAGTACAGCTAGAGTGAAATACAAAACACATAGTCACCTCTGGGCATCAGGCAAAGAACAAATATGCTTAAATATATTTCTTCATCTTAAAATATTTATTGTATGTATTACTGTATCTATTTATTTATATTTATTTTTGTAAAATAAAAATACATGTATCTTAATACTTTTGTCATATTTATATGTATATATGCATTTTATGGTTTATTAATATTAATATTTTAAAACATACTAAAATATACTATACTAAAATCATTATACTTTACTAAAATATTCTTAAAAAATTATTTATTCTTTATCTGAAATTCAGGTGTGCTCTCTATATATTTATTAAATCTGGCAGTGCCATACTGAAGAAAACCCTTGGGACCTGGCGGGCAGAGCCCTGTGCTACTCATTGTGTCTACTAGTCTCTGCACAGTGCTTGCCACACACAGCTAGCCACCTGAATGTTTGTGGAGTAAGGCATCTGAAGCCACATTTGCTGAGGTCTACCAGATGCCCTGCCTCCTGGGGTCTACCAGATGCCTGAAGGCTTGGGCCACCTCTCTTGGCCTATCTGGGATGAAGGGCAGCACACTATATTCTGGTAAATATAAAATGAGAGAAGTAGGAGGAGGGGAGAGGAATCTGCAAGGGAGCAAATAAGAAAAAGGAGAAAGAGCTGTAAAGTGTGAGAAGCAACCTCTGCCTGGAGCTGGGTGCCTTTGGGCAGGGCTGGCACAGGGCTCTCCTACACACACCGTCCTGCGGTGGTCATGCAGAGTCTGTGGTGCCCAGAGGCCAGGAAAAGGGGTGGTACTGAGGAGTGGCCCAGGCAAGATGGTTGAGGAGGACTTTTTGCCACAGACCCTTAATCCACTAGGGCCTGGCCCAGGGCTTTGCAGCGGGGAGGTAGGACACATTTTGATGCCAGTAGGTTGGAAGGTCAGGAAATGTTGGATAAAAGAATTGGGCTCATAATAAACATTTCCAGCTCCTTCCTTCTCCCTTTTAATATATAATATAAAAATAAAGGAAAGGAGAATTTCTTCAAAAAACAAAGGCCTTCCTTGGAGCTAAACAAACATGCAGCGCAAAACTGGACGTGAAGGTGCCTGTGTTGCTGGATCCCTGCCCTGCGGGTACTGGCTTGGGAGCCCAGGGCCTGAAGGTGGGGCTTATGCAGGGGGTTGTTATTTCTTTTCCATTTGTCACTTTTAACTTCAGAAGTAATTTTACAGAAATCGTTGCCAGCATTCTATAATCCCTTAAATATTAACTTGGCCTTAACTCAACACGCCACATTACAAGAGGCTCCGATGATTTCCAGTCTGAACAGTTTTCAGTCTCTCTTGCCAAAGTAAAGTTTTTAAAAGTACCTCTAGGGATGCCCAGGGGGAGGCCTAATTACCTCCCTCTTGTGTGAGCTTCGACTCCCCTAAGAAACAAATTGGCCCTTGGGCAGCTCGCTGCTCTCACTAAGCAGGGAGATGAGACTAAAAAGCTGGCAGGGGTGGAGAGATTGGCAGCCTCTCTTCCTGGCTCCTTTAATCAAAGAAAAATAATATTAGTTAATGTTTGACAATCTTGGCTTATGATCCATGTCCAGGATGTGCACTCCTGCAGAGCTGAGCTTGTTAGAGAAGTAGGAGAACACAATGGACCGAATCCACACTGCAGGCCTAAATTCTTAGGATGTTATTTTCCTTGCTCTTCAGCAGTTTCTTGGGTCATCGGTCATCCTAAGAGTGACAGAGAAGATCTCCCAGCTCCCTGGTCCTATCATCTGTTGTGGGACTGCAATGCATAGAGCTGCAGGAACAGGCATGCTGGACACACAGGGAAGGGACAATGCTAAGTCCAGATTCTGGCTGCTCTGCTCTTTCCCTGACCTGCTCAGTGGCAGGTGCCCAGTTACATGGGATCATGTCTATGGCAGAACTTCACTGAAAAGAAATGTCTGCACAGTTTATTTCATGTGCATAGATTTTCCAAAAAGATTTCAAAAGGAGAGAATTGTGGGAAAATGGACTGATCGTGGTCACAGAGGGCCATGTTTCCTGCTTGTTAGCCATGTGGCAAATCTCTTTATGACTCTTAAGACTCACTTCTTGTTATATATAAAGGGGATTAATGATACTACATCACCAGGTTGCCGAAACCATTATACAAGATAATGGATTTGACAGGATAGCCTGATAGAATGGGTGTGAAAAATTCAAGTGATAAAGCCCTGGGTGACTGCACTTGTGGACATTTGGTACACAGAAGGGGGCTGTGCAGGTGTCTCCCACCTGGAAGAGAAGCTTTTCCTACCCAGGGCCAGGAGTGTGGTACTGAAGGAGAGGGAGCCTCCATGCATGGGACAAGAGGAGGGATAAAGAAATGGTTGCTTTGAAGGATCTCTGAACTTGAACTATGAGTCTGAGCCGCTGCAGACATGGAGAGAG